GTCCCCACCACTAAAAAAACAAAAAAAAAACCAAAACCCACTCTTGCTACTCTTGCTAAAATCACTAAAAGACTAAACCAATAGTCATTTTGTCAACCTTACTTTGTTTGATCTCTCTGCAGTATCTGACACTGCTGACTTCTGCCACTCTTTTTTTTTTTAAATAAATGTTTTAAATTTATTTTTGGCTGTGTTGCTGCGCGCGGGCTTTCTCTAGTTGTGGCAAGCAGGAGCTACTCTTCGTTGTGGTGTGCGGCCTTCTCATTGTGGTAGCTTCTCTTGTTGCAGAGCACGGGCTCTAGGTGCATGGTCTTCAGTAGCTGTGGCTCGTGGGCTCTAGAACACAGGCTCAGTAGTTGTGGCACACAGGCTTAGTTGCTCTGCGGCATGTGGGATCCTCCCGGAGGGCTCGAGCCTGTGTCCCCTGCATTGGCGGCGGATTCTTAACCACTCAGCCACCAGGGAAGTTCCTGACACTCTTCTTGAAACTCTCTAATCCCCTGGCTTCTGTGACACATCTCTCTTCTATCTCTACGATATGCATTGGAGATTCAAAGATGTATACGACAAAGTCCCTGACTTCAAGGAGCACAGATTCTAAAATGAGAGAAATATATGCAAACAATCACAACACAGTGAAATAGTACTATGATAGTTATAGGTACAAAGTGCTGCAGTAGCTTCATGATGCAGAAAGAGAGGGAGCATGCATTCTAAGAGGCAGCAACTAGAATGTACAAAGTCACACATATAAATCAGCATGGTATGTACAGGGAATTTAACTGATAGTCGTTCAGCATACAAGTTTTGAAATCTGATTCTACTATTTACCAACTCAATGACATAAAATAACAATCTCTATTTCAAAGGACTACTATGAAAATTAAATTAAATAGGGTCTTAGCATAGGGTCTGGCATATATTGAAAGGTCTCAATAAATGTTAACTTTTTCATGACAAAAACACTGAACAAACTAGGAATAAAAGGGAACTTCCTCAACCTGATAAAGTGCAGTTAGGAAAAACCCACAGGTAACATCATACTTAATGCTAAAAGACTGAATTCTTTCCCCCTAAGATCAGGAACAAGATGAGGATGACTGCTCTCACCACTTCTATTTAACACTGTGCTGAAGGTTTTAGTCAGGGCAATTAGGTAATAAAAAGACATAAAAGGCATCCAGATTGGAAAGGAAGAAATAAAACTATCACTATTTGCAGATGACAAGATATTAAATATAAAAAAATTCTAAGTAATAACTACTAGAACTAATAGTTGAACTAAGGGTGCACGATTTAAAAATCAATTACATTTCTATACTCCAGCAATGAACAATCCAAAAACAAAAGTAAAGAAACTATGTCATTCACAATACTATGAAAAAGAGTAAAGGACTTAAGAATAAATTTGACAAAAAAAGCACAAGACGTATGTTGAAAATTATAAAACATCACTGAAAGAAATTAAAGAACACCTAAATAAATGAAGAGACCTCCAATGTTCACGGATTGGAAGGCTTACTATTGTAAAGTTTCCAAACTGACTTACAGATTCATAATACAGATGAACACAGTCTCTATCAAAATCCCAGATGGATCTTTTTTGGTAGAACTTGACAAGCTGATCCTAAAATTCATATGAAAATGCAAGGGGGGACTTCCCTGGTGGTCCAGTGGTTAAGAACCCATCTTGCAATGCAGGGACACCCGTTCAATCCCTGGTCCGGGAACTAAGATCCCACATGCCGTGGGGCAACTAAGTCTGCATGCCACAACTACAGAGCCCATGCGCTCTGGAGACTGTGCACCACAACTAGAGAGAAGCCCACATGTGCACTGCAATGAAGAGCCCGCATGCCGCAACTAAGACCTGATGCAGCCATAAAATAAATAAATAAATATAAAAAAAAGAGAAAGAAATAAAAGGCAAGCACCAGAAGAGTCAAAACAACCTTGAATAAGAACAAACTTGGAGAATTCACACTTCGTGATTTCAAAACTTCCTACAGAACTACAGTAATCAGACAATGTGATACTAGCACAAGGAAAGATGTATAAATCAATGGAATCGAATTAAAAGTCCAGAAATAAATCCTTACATTTATGGTCAACTGATATTCTTTAAGGGTGCCAAGATAATCCAATGGCCTAGGACAACTAGATATCTGAACACAAAAGAATGAAGCTGAGCCTCTACTTCACACCATACATAAAAATTAACTTAAAATGAATCATAGACCTAAATTTAAGAGCTAAAACAATAAAACTTACATTTAGAAGAAAATATGAATAAATCTCCATCACGTTGGATTAGGCAATGGTTTCTTAGATAAAACACCAAAATCATAAACAACAAAAGAAAACAGATAAAATTAAAAACTTTTGTGCTTTAAAGAACAATATTGAGAAAGTGAAAAGACAATTCACAGAATGGGAGAAAATATTTGCAAATCATATATTTCATAAGTGACTTGTATCCAGAATATATAAAGGATACAATAAAAGGATAACCTTTTATTGTATCCTTTAAAAAAGGAAGAGGATAATAACAAATGTTGGTGACGATATGGAGAAACAAATCCTCATACATCACTGGTGGGAATGAAAAATGATACAGCCTCTTTGGAAAACTGTTTGGCAGCTCCTCAAAATGTTAAACATGGATTTACCAAATGACCCAGCAATTCCACTCTTAGGTATGTACCCGAGAGAAATGAAAACATGTACACACAAAAACTTATACACAAATGTTCATAGCAAAATATTCATAATAACCCAAATGTAGAAACAACCTAAATGTCCACCAACTGATGAACAGATAAGCAAAATATGGTACATGCATATTGCGGAGTCCAACTCCTGACCAAGAAGTCGACGTGTGACTTTTCCAGCCTGACCATAAATGATTACAAAGGCCCTGGCAGGCCTCACATAGGATATCTGCTCTCCCCTGACCAGACTTGGTGCACAGCCAGTGCACTGCAGTCTCTGAAGAGAGTTGTAGTCAAGGACCCAGGCACCCCTGACTGACCATGCTCTTTAGCACAGCTGTATCCCTAGCCCAAGTACCTTCTTCCAGAAGTTTCTTTATATGTGGCCTGCAGCTGAGGCCTTTCTTCAGGAGCCTCTTCTGAGATCTTCTCATTAGGGAGGAAACATTAAAGACACTTTTTCTCTACTCTAACTCAGTACTTTTCCACTCCAAGTCCTTCCATCTCACCCTCCAACCAGCCCTGGGTCCATAAAACTACAGGAACCTTTTGTTTGGGGCTCCCTCAGCAGTGAGACAACCCCACCCCCACCCCATACTGATTCACCTGAGTGAGAGGGCCTGCACTTTCTCAGGTTTAGCATCTTGCTTATACTATCTCAGTAAGTGAATAAAGACTAGAATGTTACTTTCATTTTGGAATGTTGTTTTTAATCAGCTACCTTGACACATGGAAGCTCAGCACTTACCCCTGTCCCCCAACCCACTTCTCTCTCACAAGCTCAGCTGAACTCCTGACACATAAAATAGAATATTATTTATCCATAAAAGGGAATGAAGTACTGGTTCATGATGAACCATGGATGAACCTTGAAAACTTTATGCTAAATGGAAGAAATAAGTCACAAAAGACCACATACTGTACAGTTCCATTTATATGAAATGTCCGGAATAGGCAGCTCTACAGAGAGAAAGTAGATTAGTAGCTGCCAGGGACTGAGTAGAGAGAGGAATGGATAGTGACTGCTAATGAGTTCTGATGTCTCTTTGAAGTGATGAAAATATTCTAGAATTAGACTGTGGTGATAGCTGCATAATGCTGTAAATACAATAAATTACATCAAATTTAAATAAATGGATGAATTTCATGGTATGTAAATTATTTCTCAGTAAAGCTGTTTTCTTAAAATGTTAGTTCCTAACATTCCTAGAGCACTAGTGAGATGGAAAAATGGATATAAAGCAGATTATATTGCTCTGTAGGAGTCTGAAATATCCTTTGAACACTGTAAAGGTACTGAAGGATTCTGAGTCATGGACTAACATGATGACATTTATATTTTAGAAAAAGCACCCTCGTAAGTGTGACAAGAATGGTTTAGAGAGCAGCTGGACTCAAGGTGGAAAGACCCTGATGGACTTATAATGTTACATTTAAAAAATTAAAAGATGAAGAAGATTCGAACCAAGACATGTAAGAAAAGGGAAA